GAGCACCCCACTAAAACCTATATAACTCCTTGCCTATACCTTACCTCACACCAAGATAAAATAATGGTAAGTAAATGTGCTGTTATGCAATGAAATTATATAGGCCTAGTTCTATTATAAGTTTAACAAAATTATCCCTAGGCAAAGGCTTAGTGAATATGTCAGCTAATTGCTTAGACGTTTGAATAAATTCAATGCTAGTATCATTATTATTAACATGATCACAAATAAAATGATGTTTGGAATGCATAATAAGATTTTTGGTCAAATTTATAGCACTTGTGTTATCACACAAGATTGAGAGTTTTTCTAAGCTTAAGCTATAGTCTAGCAATTGTTGATTCATCCAAAGGATTAGTGCAACACATAAGGAAACAACTATATACTCTACCTCAACAATTGAGAGTGTAACACTCACCTGCTTCTTGCTAAAACATGAAACTAGAGAGTTCCCAAACAAATGGCAGGTACCAATTGTGTTTTTCCTATCCAACTTGCATCCTGCCAGAATTGGAGTATCCAACTAGACTTGGTGGTGATCCTTTAGGATACTACAATCCCATATTACAAGTACTTACCAAATACCTAATAATTCTCTTGACAACAGTCAAGTGAGGCCCCTTAGGATTAGATTGATATCGAGCATACAAACAAACACTAAACATGACATCAAGCCTAGAAGCTATATGATATGATAAAGAACCTATCATTCCACGATATAATGTTACCTCAACAGCTTTACCACTTTTGTCTTTGTGCAAAGGTAGACTTGAGCTTATTGGGGTATCTATGAGCTTTGCCTTCTCCATTTCAAACCTTTTAAGGAGTGATTTGCAATACAACACTTGGCTAATGAAAATCTCATCTTATTGTTTAATTTGCAGCCCAATGAAGAAATTCAGCTCACCCATCATTGACATTTCGAACTCACTCTGCATAATACTGGCTTTTTGACCACTGTAGCCCTTATTCAATAATTAATTACCAAATTAACCTTGATTATAAACTATTTCAAATATTTAACCTCTCCAGTATGACCGTTGACCAATAAGCTTACCCGGGTAGCCCCCTCCCTAACCGGGTTTTTTTTGAAAATTTAACCCTACCCGGGTAGTCAAGGGGATACCCTGGTATATTTCAAAAAACGGGAAAAATGCTTGAATTATTTATCCGGGTAGGGAGGGGGCTACCCGGGTAAATTATCAATTGAGATGTAAAGCAAGAAATGAATTATTCGGCCAGAAGATAAAGCAAGAAAGACGAAGAAACCAGTTCACAAAAATAATTATCAACTAAGAAGTAACGAACCAATCACAGAAACTCTTTCTAGAAGCCGATGAATAGGCAAAAGAAATGAAATTTCTTATATAACCCAAAATAAATTTTCCAAAAGAGATTAATCTGTAAGTACTCATTCTTCTTCCAGAAAAATAGGGTTTAGAACAAATTAATTACACGTGGTTAAGGTTATTAATATGTAAAGGGAAAAATAAAAATAAACAATGTCTGCTCTCCCCTCCGGCAACTCCACTCTGGCAGCCATCCTTCAATAATACGATGATGCAGCAAACCAATCCCTTTCGTACCGGCGCGACGGCGATGAATTCGTACCAACAACATCGTACAGTACGAACCACATAGAACAAAAGAATCGAAACAACAAAAATAAGAATCGATGAATTATATAAACAAATAGGGGAAAACAGTGGAAAATTTTGAAACAATTCAGAATGAAAAAGTTGCGACGAGTGGACTTAGCTTCGTTTTGGTTTGAGTTTTTTAGAGAGAGAAAGTTTTTTTAGAAATGGAAATGTGAGGGGGCGTGTTTGTTTGGGTTTATAATGGGATATGATATGTAATTGGGTTTATAATGGAATATGATATGTAATTGGGTTTTTGGACGAAATTTACCCGGGTAGCCCCCTCCCTGCCCGGATAAATAATTCAAGCATTTTTCCAGTTTTTTGAAATATACCAGAGTATCCCCTTGACTACCCGGGTAGGGTAAAATTTTCAAAAAATACCCGGGTATGGAGGGGGCTACCCGGGTAGGCTTACTGGTCAACGGTCAAACAGGGCAAATTGATGTTATGTTTTCTGGAGAGGTTAAATATTTGAAATAGTTTATAATCAAGGTTAATTTGGTAATTAATTATTGAATAAGGGCTACAGTGGTCAAAAAGCCGCATAATACTAGAAAATTCCTCTCAAAGACTTATGTTAGTCGATCCAAAAATAATATCATCCACATAAATTTGGACTAACAAATTATAATCATTCTTTATTTTTATGAACAATGTAGTGTTAACGTTACCCATTTTAAAATTATTTTTCAAATTTTTTTAATAAGCCTATCATATCATGCTCTAGGGGTCTAATTTAATCCATATAGAGCCTTTTTAAGCTTGTAGACATGGTTAGGATAGCTACACTTTTCAAAACTAGGGGCTAACCTACATAAACCTCTTTTTGTATGAAACCATTTAGGAAAGCACTTCTCATCCATTTGGAAGTTTAAAATTGTGAATGCATGTATATGCTAGCAAAAACCTAATTGCTTCAAGGCGTGCAATAGGAGCAAAGGATTCATCATAATTGATGTCTTCCTCTTGATTATATCTTTTTCCAACCAATCTTGCCTTATTTCTAACTATTATGCCATTTTCATAAAGTTTGTTGCGAAAGACCCATTTGGTGCCAATAATTTGATTACCATTGGGTTTAAGAACTAATTCTCACACATTGTTCCTTTCAAGCTGGCTTAGCTCTTCATACATAGCCATTACCGAATGTTCATCTGCTATTGCCTCCTCAATGTTCTTAGGCTTAACTTGAGATACAAAGGTTGAATGAATACATAAATTTTTAAAATAACTTCTAGTAGTTACTCCTTGTGTAATATCACCTATTACATTCTCAATATGGTGATATCTTCTGACTTGGGCTTTTGTGCTTTGTAAGGTTGAGGAGAGAACATTTCCTTGTTGTTCCTTTGCACCCTGGCTACTTTTTATCTTTACTTTCTGCATTTTCATCATCAAACACAACCTTTCTCGGCAAAGGGTTTATAGCATCTATTGATTCATCAAAGACAACATGAATGGACTCTTCTATGGTCTTAGTTCTTTTATTATAGATTCTAAATGCTTTGCAAGACAAGAATAACCTAGGAAGATACCTTCAACGTATTTTTCATAGAATTTCCCTATGATATCTTTCGGATTGTTTATAACAAAGCACTTGCATCCAAATACATGAAAATAAGAGAAATTAGGTTTTTTTTTTCTTTATAAAGCTTATATGGTGTTTTCTTCAAAATGGTCTAATAAGAGAACGATTACAAACATAGGAGGCATTAATCACTACATCTGCCCAAAAAGGCTCAGAGACATTGCTTTCACTCAACAAAGTGTGGGCAATCTCCTCTAAGTTTCTATTTTTCCTTTCCACAACCTTGTTTTGTTGTAAGGTCCTTGGAGCAGAAAAATTATGTTGTATACCATGCTTATCACAAAATTGTTCAAAAAGAGATTTCTCAAGCTCTCCACTGATATCACTTCTAGAGTAATCACTTCTCAAGGCAACAATTTTAGAGCCCCTTTCATTTTGAACTACTTTGGCCATCTTTTTAAAGGATTTGAATGCATCATTTTATGAGTTAAAAACAAAGTCCATGAATACTCATTTTGAACTACATGGGGTCTTTCTTCAGCTTGATATTAAAAATGCTTTCTTACATGGTGATTTATAGGAGGAAGTTTACATGAAGCAACCAGTCGATTTTGTTACTTAGGGGGAATCTGGCCAAGTATGCAAGCTTCACAAATCTTTATATGGCTTGAAGCAATCACAAGGTTTGGTTTAGTCATTTCAATTCAGCTATTAAAGCTTTTGGGCCATCTAGTAGCGAAGCTGATCACTTTGTTTTCTATTGGCGTAGTTCTTCTGATCAATGCGTCTATCTACTTGTCTATGTTGATGACATTATCATCATTGGCATCGATCGAGTTGGCATTGAACAGCTGAAACAATACTTGTTTGGTCAATTTCAGATCAAAGATCTTGGTAAACTCTTTTATTTCTTAGGCATTAAGGTGGTACAATCAAGGCAAAGTATCTCCATCTATTAGAGAAAGTATACCTTGGATATCTTGGAAAAGATTGATATGTTGGAATACAAGCCTATTGATACAGCCATGGATCCCAATATCATGCTTCTACTTGAACAAGGTGAGCTTCTTAGTCATCGTAGTTGTTATCAAAGACTGATCAAAAGGTTGAATTATCTTATTGTAAGAGGACTAGATTCCTCTTCCGCAATTAGTGTGACTAGTCAATTCCTTGATTCTCCTTGTGATTCCGATTAGGACATTGTTGGCAAAAAAATTTGCTACATCAAAGGAGCACCGGTAAAAAGCTTATTATATAATGATAAAGGGCATATTGAGGTTTGTAGCTACTCAAATGCTGATTAGGGACACTCTTCTTCAGATAAACAATATACTTCCGGCTATTGTGTCCAATTTGGGAGAAATCTGATTTTTTGGAAGAGTAAGAAGCAAACCATGGTAGTCAAATTAAGTGTAGATGTTGAGTATCGAGCAATGGGAGCTACAATTTGTGAGCTTGCCTTGTTAAAACAATTGATTAAGGACCTGTGTTTCTATGAAAAACATCCTACGAAATTGCGACAATGAAGCCCGTGTTACACATATCTTCTAATTTGACATTTCATCAGAGGACCAATCATATCGAAATTGATTGTCACTTCATATAAGAAAAGATTCAGTCTAAAGAAATTAAAACAATATTCATCAATTCCAATGATCACTTTGCGGATATTTTTCACCAAATCTCTTAGAGACCCGAGTAGACTATATCTATAGCAAGCAAGCTACACACGTTTGATATACATGTATTAGCTTGAGGGGGAGTGTTATAGTATTAGAATGTATATTTAGTCCCACAGCATGTAGATAGGAACCAAGCCCATATACCCTATTATTATATTATAAATATAAGCCGTGTAGGTCATATTAGACACAACTTCCTCAACTTTAAGTGAACTCTTACAGAAATATTTTCTGAAGGAAGGCCATTCGTATTTTGCTTTTGTTTTTGGTACAACAACCCTATGAACATTAGAACTGAAGAATTATAGTCTAGTGAATTGGATCAGATACAATAACACGTCAAAATATCCTAGACTTATCAATGTTACAGCTTGTATACCTGACTAAAATATGTAGGCACCCTTAACCATGAATTGGTAATTTTCTCAGAATTTTCACCATCTGCGGCGCCTTTTTCCATAAAAATATGCAAATGCAGCTATTGATGCAGCAAGAATAACCCCGGCTGTAGCATGCCAAGCATACAATGGTCTCTCCAAAAGTAGATCAGAGGCGTTAACCTCAACTGGTGGTGATGCCAGAGGTTTCTGACTAACTGTAACTGCAAACCCCAAACCCTGCCTCTCCAGCTCTGTTAAGTCTTCAATTGCTGGCCGAAACCTAGTGGCCTTGGCTATGGCTTCATACTCCTCTTTAGTTCCACCTTCAAGGAACGCCCCAACAAGTTGACCCTTGCTTACCCAGTATGCTCCAAATGTATTACCTGAAAAATCTCCAAAATAGACAACTTCCCCAACATTATCCCCATAAAATTGCCAAGACAATGTGAAGACTCTGGAGTAGAAAAAAGGAAGGTAATCAAATTCGCCTGTTTTGTCTGGTTCCATTATGGAAGCCACAGCATGTCTTGCAGATTTCCGTGCTGAATCAACGTGCTCAAGTCTCCGAGTTTCCCCGAATGCTTTGACCGGAAATGCTGCAACATCTCCAATTGCGTAGACTGAGCTGTTGCTTGATTGCAACATTCCATTTACTTTGATTCCACCTTTCTCCAAAGTAAGTTGACCTTCAAACAAACCTGTATTAGGACGTATTCCAATTCCCACCACAACCATGTCCACGGATAGCTTCCTTCCATCTCTAAGATTAACAGCTGTAACCTGTAAAAAGAGTCAGTCAGTTATATTTGCAGGTTGAATTGATCACAGGCACGATGTAACAATAGTCAAATTTAGTGTGATGACTTCTAATCATTTTCTTCTAGGATATGGATAAGACTGGTTGTCATGAATCCTATTAAGCAGGAAATTTTCACTTCCAACAAATAAATAAGCCGCTCTCTACTGGTTCAGAGATTGCAAAATCTTTTTGGGAGGATTTACCAATTTTCTCAGTTTGAATTGGAAAAGTTTTGGCACGATCAACCTCCCATATTAATGAAAAGCTCTAACACCAAGAACAACCAAAGCCTTTTTCTACTAGGTGGGGTCAGCTACATGCATCATACAATGCTATTGTGAACTATCAAAAACCAAATTTTCAGAAATGCCATTTAGATAAGGTTTTTTTAATGGTTTCTCTTAGGTGGTGTTTGGTTGGGAGCTTTTCAGCGGATATCTATTTTTCTCAAGTATGGCTTTTAGAAACGAAGATGGGAGTAGCAGAGATGAGGATGTTAAGGTGGATGTGTGGGTACACAAGGATGGATAAGATAAGAAATGAAGATATTCGACGAAAGGTCGGAGTACTACCGGTAGTCGAGAAGATGAGAGAACATAGATTGAGGTGGTTTGGGCACGTGATGAGAAGACCCATGGATGCTCCTGTAAGAACAGAAGTTTGTTACCAAGAGCTAAACACAAAAAGAGGCAGAGGTAGGCCGAAGCTTACTTGGGGAAAAGTAGTAAAACAAGATTTAATGGAGTGGGATATAGATTGGCGGACAGTATGTCTTAGAAAGGAATGGAGAAAAGCTATAAGTATGGTGGAGGGTTAGACCCGCTGTTATTCCTATGTTCCAGATGGTCCTTTTTTAGTCCTTTTCCCCTTCATTTCCCCCACTTCTTCTTGTCCCTTTCTTTTTTACTTTTATTTATTTATATATACATGTATTTTTATTTCATTTTATTTTATTTTATTATTTTATTTGTGTATTTTTATTTATTTATTAATTTATTTATTTATTTATTATTTTTTATTTTTTTTGTTACTTTTTTTCAACCGTTTTGTATCTTTCATGTGGGTTCATCTACCACCGACCCGAATTAATTTGGGATAAAGGTGTTGTTGATGTTGATGTTGATGTTGATGGCTTTTAGAAACACCATGTTTGTTTCAACGTTTTTCACCAAAAACCCATCTATCCAATTTGTATGGATTTATGAGAAACATAGATATCCGCACTGTTTAGAAACCCAATTTGAAGGTGGGATTTTTCGGAAAACCGGTTATCTGGCTTTTAATGCACTGTTGATTTCATAAAGTTACCTAATTTTCCCAGTAAAGTTTTTCCACACCAAACAACTTTTTTTACATTTTTCTACCTATCTCACTTTATCTATCTTTCCAATCATTTCTCTATCTATTACATTTCCCTACTATTCCAAAAAAATTTCCTCAACCAAACGCCCCCTCAGAGTTTTCCTTGGTCTTCCTCTATCTCTATTAATCAAGCTATCCTCCAAATTATCAACTCTTAATATTGGGGCTTCTATTGGTCTTTTCCTCACATGACCAAACCATCTTAGGTGAGAAAAATTCCAATTACCTTTTCATTGGAGTCAAAATCAAGTGATGAAAGCACAGTTCCCTTAATGAAGTTTACTCCTCTTGATTTGTAATATTCCTCATAGTAGCTTGCAATCTTGGGGGTAAATAAACGAGCCACTGTAAAACAAACAAAACATTAAGAATATCCATCAGTTTTTGAAGTTGTTTTTTATCCATAAGAGCTTCAAGTAGCATCTTTATTTATATTAAACATGCATATAAAACATATTCATTACACATACATTTTGGGTTGACAGACAATAGGTTTTAAATTAAAGTACTCACTGCAATGTGCTTCTGGGAAGACCATTGTTACATTCATTTTATTGATCACTAAAGACGCAGCACACTCCATGCCTATGTAACCACCACCGATGACAACAGCATTCCCTCCAGGACAAGATTGCACAGCATTAACAAGCCTATTTGCATCTGCTATATGTCGTAAATAACAGACATTTTCTGCATCTGATCCAGATACCCCAAATTCTTCAAGCTTCAAAGCCTACACTTGACATTGCAAATATGTTTAATACACTTCTGTAAAGAAAGCAAAGAGTCCACTGCTTAGGTACATGGTGAATTTATCCTCAATTATTCCAACATAAGAATTTAGTAAGTTCATGAAGAAGACAAGTTGTTCCTTAAGTTAAATATGATAATACAAGGGCCTAATAGTTTTCATGTCTTTAAGGTCAGTGATATTGAACTACAAGAATTGAAAACCAAAAAGAAAAAGAAAAAAGAAAACAATGAGAAACACCCAGCAAATTGCCAAAGCTTCTTTCATTTGTTCTTGTAAAAAACATGAGATACAATCCCTTTAGGCTTTATTGAGATAAACTGATTATTAAGTAAGAAAATTTTCACTAGGAGAGTGGGAGATTTGTTTTAATACCCGTGCACCAGTAGCAATAATAAGAATCTTGTAACTTATGGTCTCCCCAGTTGCTGTTAATAGTGTCTTACGTTTCACATCAGCAGACTTAACTCCAGTTCCAAGAACTAATTCAATTCCTGAAAAGCAAATAATAGAAATTACAAGAATTAGATATTCAGGATAGGAAATTCCTTAAATAACAATATAACTTAATTAAGCAGAGATGGATAATAACTTCTTTTCATCAACAAGTATAATAAACTGGTAAAAAGATTTAGAAATTTAAAACAGAAAATTACTTCCTAGCAGCATACTGAATACTACTAATTACCTGTTGCAATGAACAAAAGTAATCAGGCAATGCATTTAATTTGGTTCTTCTTACTTTTGACTTCCAAAACTTCATCTAGTTATTGGAGAAAGACAAATACAAAAGATTTATCCTATACTTCCCTTCTACTCAGTTTACATGGTTGGTGCTGTCACCTGATACTAAAAGACCACATATTATGTTCAGAAGTGAAATTTAGATTTTGCCATTAAATGCCATAAATATATTACCTTCTAAGACCAAATTGTTTCTGGACTCAACCACCCCGTTGGATGCAAGTGGAGATAATCAAAAAAGTAAATAATTTAAAGCAGATCACAGGTGACATTACATTCCTTAATGCATTAATTTCCACCAGTGAACAGAGATAGAGAAATAACCAATTTTTTTAGGTGCTTAATACAAAACAATTCATCCCAAAATTAAGTAACATCATCACTTTTATCCACTAGTCTGGGTGGACAATCGATGAAACCAAAAAAAAAGCAAGAACAAATAGCAGAAAAAGAAATAAATATGAAAAAACAAATGAATAAATATAAGCAAAACGTGATGTTGATTCAAGTAGGTCACTCTATCTAGATGGCATCAACTATTGAATCAGATCTTTACAGTATGAAATCAGTAGTCAGCAGGACAAAACAAAGATCAGTCAAAGAAAGCCTTGCTAAATTAGTATATAAAAGAAACTGCATCACGATGTGAAAAATATAATTACCATGTTCTTTATACCATTTTGGAGTTAGCCTTTCCTCATTTTCACCAACACAAGTATGAAAGGATGGAAGCCGTGCAGGAGCTGTATGTTACAAACTTATTTCAGCAACCACTCATGACATAAACTTTAGTAACAAAGAAAAGAGAAAATATGGAAGAAAGGCAATGAGGAAATTGGTAGCATCATCTATCTGCTATATTTGAACCATAAGGAAATGAAGCAGTAAAGCCTCCTAAAGCAAGTACCATCCTAAGCTCCCAGTTCAATCCTTCAAATTTACAGCATAATCACTCATGTTTACTTCTTCATACTTTAATATTAGATTATTTTCAAAAATAAATTGATGATATTCCCTCAACACAGGGAGCAAAACTATAAAAACATAGTTATTATTCCCCCAAAAGTAAATAAAAATTATCAAGAACATTACAATGAAGTTTATATATTAGTGTCCCCAGTAACAGTAAGAATTTCCCCTGTTCAGTCAGATAACTTGGCTGTGATAATCAAATTTCAAAACTTGATGGAGATATCACTTAACAGGAAGCTAATGATATTTGCAAATGTAAAGGTTTTGGCCGTATGAAAATCAGAGAGGGATATTCAATTGGACAGAAGTCCTGATTAGAGCATTAGGTAGTTTAATATAAGGGAAACAAAGCATGCTGTAAAGGAAAGAGGTAACTCACACAAAGAAAAGTTCAAATGGGTCCAAAAAGGTCATTTTTTATCAACAAGTATTGCAAAAGATACTTTTAATACAAATCCACATCTAAAATAACCAGTTGATTAGGTGCCATGAGGAAAGTCTATACCTTCTGGAAGCAAAAATCCTTTGCTCAATGCAGGCCTTTCATAAGGAGCAACCTGATATAGACATTCGAGGATATTTATATATTTCCCATTACTGAAGAAAGATTCAAGTATTCCTACATAAACTTCTGAGTAAACAAAGAAGGAAATAAAATGCCTTCATTCTGGTTTTGACCAAATCTTAATTTTAACTTCAGTGAAGAAAAAAGATAAAGAAAGCTACCAACCACTAGATAATAAGAGCAATAATCCCACAAGAACATTATCACCCACTTTAATCAAATTACTCATGGCAGGAATTCAGTATAACATTGAAAAAAGCAAAATCAAATACTACACTATTTTTTTTTTCAAGGTGAGGGCAAGAACAAATTGCATTCCAAGGTTAACAACACAATCCTGCCATAATTGTCAATAGTTTTGTGGTTCATATGAAGCAATATCATCAACCTTATCCATGAATTAAAACACCCATTTTCCATTCAATCCAGAAAGTAACGAGAATTTCAAACAAAACCCAGCAAAGCTTCAGGAAAAAGAAAATGAATATTCTTACTGGTTCATCAGAAATGATACAGAGTTCACCATGAGAAACCCCTTTTCTGACGAATTCAAGAGCAGCGTAACCAGCAGCTACACCTCCCCCAAGAATCACGTACACAAAGGCTCTTCCCATTTCTCTGAAAACACCTTTTTCTTGTTCTTGTTCTTGTTCTTCTGTTTCAGTTCCTCTTCTTCACATAATCACATATACATACGAAAACTCTTTCTTTTGATTATTTTTATTTATCTTCAATTTAAAATCAAAGGTGCTGAATTTTTTGGGAGCGCTTTCTTTCAAGACACTCCCACAAAATTTGAAGATCACGGAACGGGGCCCATGATGAAGACAATGACGAGAACTGTGCATTTACCTTAATGTCCCTTCTCTGAAATATGATCCCATGCGTTTAGGTATACTATACGTCCCTTCTACCACACGTTTGATCAATAGAAACGTGTGGTAGAAATTTTGAAAAAAATATTAATATTATTATATCTATGTATTTACAAAAAGGGTTTTATAAGAGTTATATTGTAGTAAAAGTGATTGTATAATGTTATAGAGATTTATTTTGCGTGCCGCAGTTTTTTTTTTCTTCAAAAAGTGTGGGCCCCAGAACATGTTGCGTGTGTAGAAAAGTTTGTTGTGTCATGTTAAATGACAAATGCAAACTCCTTACAAAAATATATAATTTATAATTTCATTTTAAATAAAGGGATAGGATATTGTGACAACCAAATAATGTTACTACCAATATTACTACCACATCTTAACCATTGATTTCCATCAATCAACGGTTATCATTTTTCAAATCAAACTCATTAATTAGTTGTTAATTCGCAGTAAATGATAACCGTTGATTGGCGGAAATCAACGGTTAAGATGTGGTAGTAACATTAGTAGTAACATTATTTGGTTGTCACAATATCATATCCCTTAAATAAAAGTATTACTCACTATTTGGGAAATATTTTTTATGGTTCAGGACCACCTAATAATTTAGTGCTCCCTCTCACAACATCAATTTTTTCTTTTCCTTTCTATCCTTACTATTTTCCCTCTTTTCCAATTTTACCTTCTCATTTACACTAGGTAGTGTTTGGTTGAAGGTTTATTTTAGGATTGATGGGAAAATGTAGGTGGATATTGGAAATACCACGTTTGGTTCAGGTTTTTTCAAGAAATACCAGACAAATAGGATAGATGGGAAAATGACTTTTGTGTTGATTTTTGGATGAAATTCACTGTTACAGAATACCACTTGAGATGTGGTGTTGTGAGATGACTGGAGAAGTGAAAAAACAGGTCCAAAGTTTCTCTCGAACATAAATTTTACATATTTAAATAAATTTCACTGGTAATATTTGGGTCAACCAAACAACTTTTTTTACATTTTCCTATCAAACTCACTTTCCAACCATTTTCCTATCAATTACATTTCTCTAGTAAAAAAAAAAATTCTTCCGAACCAAACAACTATTAAAAAATGGTGATCCGGAGCCTAATAAATCCTTTCCACTATTTGGACTCGCGCTCTAGGGACTTGTCTCTCATCATGCGTGACGTTAGCAACAGTATCTTATTAACTTACAACATAACGTGATTTTATTTTAATTTAAGGATAAAATATATTTTATTTATTTATTTTTTAAAAATTATTTTTCTTCTACAAATATTCATCAACTTGGGATTGATTAGTTCATCTGAATTATTTTTTTATTTAAGATATTTCAACTAATCTTCATTTCGCAACTAGTTCGATTCGTAAAAGAATATGATATTAAGGCTTTAAATTTTTTCAAAAAATAGTATTAAATAGTATCGAACATATACTTTTATCACAACCTGTTCAATTTTCTAATACCAACTAAACTACCATTATTTAATTCATTTGAAAGTTTTTTATCCTCACCCGTAAGAAAACTCTTTTTGTTCAATTATATTAGAGTGTATCATATTCGATGAACAGATTATCTAGAACTAATTAACTTGGAATGTAAAAAACAAAGTCAATACAGATTGAATTATCACAATTTAGCTTAATATCACATAATATTTAATACTTATAGATAGTTATCTTAATAATTAAAAAATAATAAAACTTCTTAATTCAAAATTAATATATTCTGCAAGATATTATTATATACATACATTAATATAACTTAGTTTCAAATATATTATGAAATATTTTTTAATTTCAATTTCTTATTTTTGAAATTCTATAACTTAACTCTATATAATGTATATGTTCATGTATTTTATTAAGGGAGTTATTAAACTCATATTGCTTGGTATAATACTCTTATGTTGATGAGACAAATATATGAGATCTATAATTAAAAAAAAAATTGGCACAAAATTTGATGAATATATAACATAAAATAATTATCTCTAACAATATGAGATAAATATTTTCTTTTTAATAAAAAATATCAAATTCACCTAATCCAAACTCAATCACAATAAAATGTTAACGGTGGTGTCAGAAAATTTCGTGAGAGGAGACAAAGATTTAGACAGAGTAAAATGATTGTGGGTTGCTGCTACATAATTAGTTTTGAAAAAAATTCAAATATTTTCATTTATGAGATATAATAAAAGGGAAATATTACTCTCCTTTTACATAAGATTACTTCTCTCTTAATCTCTCACTTCGATTTCCGCACCTCATTTTTTTCTTTTTTTCTTTTTTTTTGTAATGGTGGGACTCACCCATTTTATCTCTACAACATAAGATATCTATCTTATGTTGAAGGAAAATAATAAAACCCATAATAAAAACGAGATTAATTATATTATGAGAAAGGTTATACTTACCATTTTTTTTTCACAACCTCTTACAATCATATCTTAATATCGTTGATTTTCGTCAATCAACAGTTATCATTTATTGTGAATTAATAATTAATTAATGAGTTTAATTTGCGAAAATAATAACTGTTGATCGGCGGAAATCAATAGTGTTACGATATAATTGTATGAGGTTGTAAAAAAAAAAATTGTAAATATAACCTTTCTCTTATATTATATTATTATTTTTTTGTATCTGAATAAATTTTAAGATGAAAGGGGATCCCCCGGATATCTAAACTGCATCAAAATTGATGAAATTAGTCTATCAAAATATCAATTCAATTCCACTGAGCTCAACCAGCGAAATGAAGGCTGAATGAATAAAAATAATAATCGTTAACCCTCAAGATACCTTACTTGGTAACTGCAAGGATTTATTTGTTCAAACGTTCAAAGTCTCAAGCAAATTTTTGAGGGTTAGATAACGTATCTCTCTCGTCTCAAAACTCAAAAGAAGATTAATCTCATCCTTCATTCAGTAACAAATAGCAAAGCTGAATGCATCTCTGTTCTAATGAAGGGTATTATGAGGATAGGTGACAGGAAGAAGTTGAACGGAGATATCCTCCAAAATTATAAAAAAAAAAAAAAAAAAAAAAAATCGTTGTTCACTCTACAATATTTGTAAGTGGGACCAACGTTGGTGGGTTAAGCGGATAATAGTTTTCCAAGTGGCAGTGAGCGTGCAACCTAGCGGTGGCCAAGAAGAATGACGAGTAAGGTGTAGATCAAGTTGGGAAATGATGTCAATGATGAGGCTGCAAGTCTGCAACACGTTCGGATTTGTGATTTGTGAACTTTGCGTACAAATAACAATAGTTGTTGATGAGGCTTGATATATCCATAGCACCACAAAATAATACTGCTACCGCAACTTATCCTTATCCCCGCAATTCATACGGCGTTTGTGTGATTCATTCCTCAGTATTGTTAAAAAATTCAACCCGATCCAATTGAACTCCGAGTTGTTGATCCATAAACCAGACACCCAACCGGTTTAATTCAGTTATTAGATCGGTTATATATTTAATTCTGTATAAAATTAGTGAACTAATCATAAACCGGATTCAAGCAGTACCAGACTACCAGATTTTTTTAAAAAAATATTTTGTGGAATTTTGTACAAAATACTTGAAAAATTCTACTAATAGGATTTTGAATTTAGATCATATGAATTATAACTTACAATACTTACCAGTAAACCAACTCTATTTATTAGTTATAATTCTTTTAATTTTAAATTTATTATATTATATTGTATTTATTTAATTTATGTGGTTGAACTGATGACTCATTAATTGAACTAGTGACCTATTATTCTACTACTCCAACCGAGTCAATAAACAATTTGGATTTGATAATGTTTCAGAGAAAATAATAAATAATTGAACTTATTATCCATAAATAAGAGTCTTTTAGGCCAAAAAGAATAGGAAATGAGAGTTGTAACACTTAATAAAATAATTGTAAAACAATCAAAGTTCAAATAATTAATTTTAAAAATGTTCTCACTAGTGTATTTTGCTATATTTTGACAAATTATATATCAAAAAGCTACGTTTCAAAAATGATTTTTAAATTTTGTCCAAAAATAAAATGATTTCTCCATTTGTCACGTCCAAAGTATTGCTATTGTACCTAGCACTAGCAGCACATTTTTTACTACGTGGCGGTGCAGTGTGTGAGTCTGGTTGGACCCATCAGTGGAACTAAACCCGCTACAACAATCAGCGCAACTTGTTTAATTGAGCGCAGAAACAGAAGATTACCCGCAGAAACAGAAGATTACCGATAGAAAGGGGAGGAACCTTTTGTTCTGTTTGACTATCGTAGTTGAGACTTGAGAGTACCTTGTTCTCTTTTGCAGATAATTTAATAATTTGCAAGATAGTATTTGTACCGTAGGGATCTATAAGCTCACTATGTTCCTTTCAGGGATGAGTCACTGTATGGATAATACCCTTAGCACAGGTACAGATCAAGCTAAGAGGTATTTTGCCCAGTATAAGCGAGCAATCAACAATGGATAAGTAAGCGATAATATGACTCAAAGTAAATGGGCAGAATAACGATACATAAGATACCTTCATGGTGTGCCCAAGGGGGCTATTTATAGGAAAAACGATGTGAGTTGGTGAGGAGGGAGTCAACCCTCCTTGGGATTTACTCCCATGGTGGCAGTGTTTGGCGTGGCAGGCGCTGCTGTTGTAGCAGCGCTGCGCCTTCTGTGCCTGGCAATGTCAAGCTCGATTTATTATGATTTTTGCAAGTCAGGTTGTTTTGGAACATTACAATGATTTGTCTTATACTTTGCGAGTTCAGTTTTGGGAGCTAGACACCTCCGAATGAAACAATTTTTATATGCACGTAAAGCCCCGGATGTCTAGTTTCCTCTATCTAAAAATATTTTTTTAAGCTGT